TCGGGGGGGCTGGTGCACTGGGGGGGGGGGGGGTGTGGGCGCCCAGGCCCAGGGGAGGCCTGGTTCACTAAGGGAGGGCTGAGGTGGGCCGTGTGCATGGGACACCGGGGAGTTTCATGCAGAGATGCTTCCATTTCTTTGTGTTTGAAAGCAGTGCCCTGGGCCGCTGGGTGGAGGACCACAGGGGAGGCTGTGGGAGCAATTCAGAGAGCCCTGACCCTGACTTGAAGGCCACTGTGGCTCCCAGACCCACAAGGTCTGGGTGGTAGAGAGGCTGCGGTGGTTCCCAACCACAATGAAGGCCTGAAACCATACTCCTGGGAAACTGGGATCATTTGTGGAGAAACATGAGCTCTGTAGCCATAAAGGGCGAATATTCATGTACATCTGCTGCTCTTCTGTCATTTCTCTAACATGGTTTTTTTTTTTTTTCCTCTTTAAGGACTGATCTCCCTGGTTGCTGTTTTAGAGCAGACATGGAAGTATTGGAGCCAAAGCGGCTAGCCCCAGGAGAGCACACCCTCCCCAGTGGCCAGGGGCACCGGGGTACTTACCCCGGCGCAGCGTGTGAGGGCTGGGGCCAGCAGCGCTGTGCGGTGGGCCCACTGCCAGCTGATGGGAGCCGCCACTCGCCTGGCTCTGGTTTTGGCCGGTGGTGATCTGACTACTGTTTCTGCCAGGTGCGGGGACAGCTGCAGATACAGAGTCCTTGGGTTTTGGAGGACTAAGGGGGAATATAAACCAAGTTAGAGGTCAGACAAGCTCAGCTAAAAAAGCTAAACATTCCTTAAGATGCAGCCATTCCTCTGAACACTAGGGTGCATGGGTCTGGGGTTCTCTGCAGAGATCAACACCCCGGGGTGCTCCAAGCCCATCCGAAAGTAGCGCAGGGTTTGCATGTGTCCTGCACCCATCCTCCTGTAGACTTGCGGTCATCTCTAGCTGGCGTATGCTAGCAGATCTGATGTGGCTAAGCTACAGGGTGTGGGAAATAGAGACAAGGACAAAGATCCAGATGTTCTGTGCAGACAGGACTTAAGAGAAAACAATTTTTGATCGGTGGATGTTTGAATTCGGGGCATGGAGGGCTGAGTGCATACGCAAGCATCCATGGGCAGCTTTCGTCTCAACAAGGCAAGGGCTGATTTAAACCTGAAATAGTTCACACTGAGCCCATATGGCTAATATTTACTTAAAAACTATATCCTTTCGATTTACATATATATATATTAAGATTCCTAGCTTTCAACTACTGTGGCACTCAAATGTCAAGTGAAAGGCCACTTCAAAGTGACACAATACATCACAAGTTCTGCTTTGCTTGTACTTACTGGATATTAAAAATAAAGAGACTTTGGGATATATATATATATATATATATTACTGGATATTAAAAATAAAGAGACTTTGGGATATATATATGTATACATATACATACACACACATATATGTTATACATAGTACAAAAAAAAGGCAGAGTCAACAGCCCACTAATACTCTAGGTTATAAAGGGTTTGACTATGATCAATGATTTGGTCTCTGGGAAGCTAAATGCTGACACCAGCCCCAGCACTGATCATAGCAGGGAAGGGGCGGGAACCCAGGCCTGCACTTCTGGGATGGAACTTCCTGTACACACATGATAGCAGCACACTGTCAGGGTCATTACAGTGCAAGAGGCTTCAGTGAAATGTACACAGAATTTTGAGAGTCTAAAACTAATAAAGGGCCATCGGATGGCTGATGCTCTGTTTGTCCTTCTGCAGTGACAGCTCATCGTTTTTAGACATTTAGTTTTGAACAAGTTGATAGTGTGAGAAAATGAAAACATGTAAATTTGCCTCTATGTTTTTTGTTGTTGTTGTTGTTGGTGGTGGTGGTGGTTGTGGAGCTTGAACTCTGGGCCTAGGTGCTGTCCCCGAGCTCTTTAGCTCAAAGCTAGCACTCTACCCCTTGAGCTACAGCGCCACTTTCAGTTTTCTGGTGGTTTATTGGAGATAAGAGTCTCACAGACTTTCCTTCCCGGGCTGGCTTTGAGCTGCAATCCTTAGATCTCAGCCTTGTTATTAATAGCTAGAATTGCAGTGGTGAGCTACCTGTAGCCTGGCTGCCTATATTTATTTATTTTTCTAACAAGAAACACTTAAACTAAAACAAACATAGGTACAGAATAAGCCAGCACACAGCCAATGCTGAGCTAAGTGTGAAGTCCTAACTTTTCTTAACCAAATATGGAACCACCCAGAGGATATGAGTAAAAATGGTTCAGAGCACTCAAGAGTTCAGCTACGGCTGAATCAAGCCCCCAGCCTCTAAGGACCTTGGACAGAAGTCGAGATCAACAGTTTTCCCAAGGCACAGTCATCTCAGCCAGTGCAGGGACACACACCGTGCGGATGGAAACCAGGCCATCCTTGTTTATGGCATGTATTTCACTTCAGCTATGACCATGTAGGGCTTTGTGGACAGTACATAGACAGTAAGTGATGGTAAGAAGTGGGCTCATCTTGTAGAGCAGCTGCCAGTTCTGAGACATTAGAGACATTACCAGAACTAAAATCTCAAGTTCAAAGGCATCTTCTCTTCAAGGTGCTGTATTGGACAGGCCCCTCCCAACAGCTCAGCAGAAAGCTTCCTTTAAGAAGGAAATGTCATCTTGCTTTCTACCTTGTACTCATGAGCCAGTTCCCTTGCAGGCCTGACAGCCCTGAGGGCAGGGACTTGGGTGCCTGGCACATGTATCAGTTCCTCAGAGAACCCGTATGGCTGATGAACCAGAGCGGGAGTGAATGAGTGACGCACTAGGGGGACGACGGCTACACTAGCTTGCTACATACATTCAGGCGCACTGCGTGATGACAGGCACGTGACACGTGAACACTGGCGGCTACAAATCAGTACACAGATGCCCCCAAAGTTAGCCACTACTCAGCCTCCAGCTTCTAGCACCAAAGCAGAATGGCAAGGAATGCAAACAAATGCTGCTTTCTTGTGATAGAACAAGAAAAGGAGGCAAGCAATGTGGGGTCCTCAGGCTGCCCGGTGCCCACCAGAGGCATGAACGTGGGTCGGGTTCGTCCTCGAGTGGTCCCTTGAGGCAAGGGGCCATGCCCCAGAGGTCATCACTGCCTGTGAGGCGTGAGGGTGTCCGGCCTCCACTGCCAGCAGAAGTGGGCTCCTTACCTGCCGTTGCCCGGGCTGGGGCCCTGCTCCAGTGTGCCCGCAGTGGAGGGGACCGTCCCACACCCTGAGCTGCCATCAGCCCTAGAGCTCTGGGTAGAGGGCTCTTGGCCCGCGGGAGCCCCGGCGCTGCCGTCTGTGGGCGGGAGTGGCGGCTGGAAAGCGGGGGAAATGTGCTTTCTATTTAGAGTGCCACTGCGCCGGTGAGCCTGGAAGTCCATAAGCTTCACACCAAAGCTACACAGAGAGAAGAAACAGTCAACACCGTGCAAGCCAGCTACAGAGACAGAAGCCCCTCATCCTCAACGCGTTCACACTGAACAGCAGACCGAGTTGCCTAGCACGTGGTAAAAGACCACATAATGGTCAGCCCTGAGACCAACAAAGCAAGCATCCGTGTTGGCTTCGAAACCAAGCAAAGCCAACGACCAGGAGCTGACCAAGCTCCCTGATCGATGTGGGGTGAGCAGCTGAAAGCAAGCAGGCAGGCCGCGTCTCGGGCGGCAGCTCGGCCCTGAGCCCATCTCTCTGCCCCTGCATGCCCATCTCGCGTCAGTGTGTGGGAAATTCGGCGGAAGCCAAAGAGGCTGACCACAGGTACAGTGGCCACACCTGATGGTCTGGAAATCCAGACGGGTGTGTACAGGGAAGAATTCCTCCAGTAGAGGCCTAAGGTTGGGAAATTGCTGCCCCAGGGAGGGGATGAGGCCTGGAGACAGGGTAAAGACTCATTTAAGACCATTGTGTGTGAACAGAAAACTTTTTCTTTCTTGGGTGTTTTTTTTAGTTCAAAAATGGAAAAGACTCGTGGTTGTCTAAGCTGGTATTTACTGGCTCAGGTGGCAGGGACAAACCATGAGGGCAGGTAACTGAGAATCATGACCCCACATGGTAGCTAGACTTGTAACACCAAACCTTATAGCTGAAGATATATGAAATTAGCTAACTTATGTGTGTGTGCCAGTCCTGGGGCTTGAACTCAGGGCCTGGGCACTGACCCTGAACTCCTTTGGCTCAAGCACTTGACAGTTCCACGTCTGGCTTTTTGGTGGTTAACTGGACTTAAGAGTTTCACAGATTTTCCTGCTCCAGGCTGGCTTCAAACAGGATAGCTCAGCCTCCCGAGCAACTAGGATCACAGGCATGAGCCGCCAGCACAGCTTGATATTAATCTCTCTGACTGTCTCTCTTTTTGGGTTGGTCATGGGGCTTGAACTCAGGGCCTGGGCACTGTCCCTGAGCTCTTTTAATCAAGGCCAGTGCTGTACCATTTGAGCCACAGCTCTGTTTGGTTATCCTAATTGGAGATCACAGTCTCACAGACTTTCCTGCCCAGGCTGGCTTTGAACCATGACTCTCAGATCTTAGCCTCCTGAGTAGCGAGGATTACAGGAGTGAGCCACGAGTGCCTGGCTTGAAATTAGTCTTTACTGAAGGTTCAGCTACGTGACACTTCTACAGAAGAAATGTGAATTTTGGAATGACAGAACAGTAAAGTCAAGTGTTTTCCTTTACTTTTGACCCTATCAAAACAAGTACCCCACTTGCCTCACTCCAGTGGGTAAAGAAGACTGGCTATTTCCTCCTCTGTAGAGCACCTGCAGTAACAATACCGCATGCACGCATCAGGGAGCACACTGCTTCTACACACCCACAGCTTGGCAGTATTGACGAGTGCTACAGTAGCCTTCCACCACACACACGGACAGGTGGCACCCAAAGGCAACCCCCCCCCCACAAATCTCACCAGCTGCCCATAGAGAACAGGAGAGACAAAGCTCATCAGGGCCTCTGTTTTCCTCCTGAACTGGTTTCTCCGACTAAACATCAAATTCAGTGGTTGCCTTTCATTTTGAAGCCAAGACGTTAAGGTCTTGTCTCTTTGAACAGAATTTCACACACCTCGTCAAGATGTGCGGTGTTCGGACACAGTCCTAGACAGAAGTCCAGGGAGGTAGGGTGAGGTGAGTTTGCCGTGTGTGTGGTGACCTTCCACTGTGGGCACAGCCCATGTGCAGGTGTCCGCTGACAAGCCACAAGAGACGCCTAGGCCGATACACACTGCGCTCATCTACAGCAAGCATCCTCAGTGATTGGGACTCTACCAGTCAGGGGGACAGAGAGGATGCTGAGCTAGCACCGGATAGTGGGTCGGATGTCCCCCAGGATTTGGGAGTGAACACACCTCTCCTTCTTCACCAGGTCCCCCTCCATCACTGCCATGCTGGCTGGCCGCTTTCTCTCCTGGGTCCCAGAGTCAAAATCATTTCCAGTGTGGGATGAATGATTAGAATTCGGGGTGGCGAGGGGTACAAAGGCTTCCGATACGTTAAATTCTATTTCTGCAAAAAAGGGATGTGAAAAAACGTGTGAGCCCAGAGCCCAGGGGTGGAGGGTGGGCCCTCGCTCTTCTGTCTGTGGGAACACTGTCGTTCCCCTCCCCCTCCCCCCAGCTTCAACACACACAGCATCAGCTGTGTGAGGAGCCGAGACCAGGGAAGGGACCACGTAGCACACCGAGCTCTGCTTTCTCTTTTGTGAAGAAAAAAAACAAACCCACAGAAAACAAGATTACAAGGAAGTATGGATTCGTTGTTTGAATCATCAAAAAACCTACAGAAATGGAGACCATGGCAGAGAATAGAATAAAAGGCAATGCGGGGTGCGGGCGGCTCCCGCCTGTAACCCTAGCTACTTGGGAGGCTGAGATCTGAGGATCGCAGTTCAGAGGCCAGCCCAGTCAGGAAAGTTGATGAGACACTTATCTCCAATTAACCATCCAAAGGCCAGAAGTAGGAGCTGTGGCTCTAGTGGTAGAGCACTGGCCTTGAGCAAAACAGGCTCAGTCAGGGACAGCGCGCAGACTGAGTTCAAGCTTCACAAATGACCAGGAAAAAAAAAAAAAGGATTAAAAGGCAATAGTGGGGCAATTTGGCAAGAATCGTTTCCTTGAGGGGAAACCTGGGCAAAACTCATCACATTTCTACTGAGTGTAAACAAGGTGTGATTCTTGTGGATGGAAAGGCCAGGGATAACTGAGAAGCCCCTGTGTCAAGAGCTCATACCATAGAGCTAGGACAGCTCTGAGGAAGGGTGTGTGTGTGTGTGTGTGTGTGTGTGT